CAGAGGCGAATTTGCGTCAGTATGACCCCGCGTGTGCCAGCCAAACCCGCTACGTCGCTGCCCGCCAAATCCCTCAGCCGATTGGCGTGGAAACTAAACACCTTGTCCGACGGGAGGTGTCTCGCTCGGGTGGTGGTTCGGAGCGTTCCGCTCAAGGCGATTGTCCGTGCGCGGTAGATTCTGCCTCTAAAAGCCGTTGACAGAGCAATCTGCTCTGAAGCCACGTTTAGCTTGCCGGCGACGCGGGCCGCAGCTGGTGTCATGCGTCTCCACGATCTGGGAATGCTGTCTTCTGCCAAGTAAAGTTTGTAAACAAGCCGCCTCCTGCCAAGGACTGATTGTTTGGAAGGACAGTAGCGGTGGTAGCGGCAGCTTTGATCAGTGATCGTAGGTTATCGCTGAATACAGAGGACGTCCGCAGAGGAGATGGAGCGATGCAATCGGCTCGGGTCCAGGTGCTGGATGGATTTGTTGTGTCACAAGACCGTGGGAGACCTAATCTAATATAATTTTATATTCATAGAGCGCCTTTGCTGGCGACAGGGGAGGCCTTCATCCAGTAGCAGATAGATCATAGCTGACGATGACAATACTTATCTTTGCTGGGAATATACTGTAATGTAATTCCCTGTCTGCAGCAGCCTGTGTGTTAAGACCAAAACAACTTCATATTATAATAATCTACTGGGATTGCTTTCTTATCCAATGACATATTATGACTAAAAAATGAATCAGTATTCTCTAATCCTTGTCACCTCGAATAATAACGTGTGGTAGGTTTTTATAATTGTTGTGATCCTGAAGATTGCGGTCCTTTTTCGCCTCGTTTTCTTTCGTCCAGTATGTGTTGTTTCTCATTTATTCCGTCTCGTTTGTAGAGTTTTGTTTTTACCAATCAAATCTGTAGATGACGAGAAAACTCGTCATAACAGCGGAAAAGCTGTGTCGATTCACAATGTAATTATGTGAACAATTTAATTTAGTTTTTTTGTCTTTAAAATGCAAAACGCTGTTTAGCAACTGTTCATCATCCATGATGAATCCACTGCTGGAAGAAGGCCTCCCCCTATTGTTATTTGACCAGGTAAGGCCCACTGAGCTATTTTGCTTTTTTTCATAAGGAACCTGTCCACAAATTATAGCTCAACGAAAGTGGCTTATCACGTGGAAATGTATCGCAACCAAATACTCAACGCATGTTTCTAAATGATGAAGGTAAAAAACCGGAGGTACCCGGAGAAAAATCCACGTTACCACAGTGGAGAGAGACATTCGAACTCCAAATATACAACAGGCGTCGTGGTCGGGATCGAACCCACGACCTCCTGCATACCAGGCGAGGGAGTTAACATCTCGTCACCGCGACACGCACGTTGACGCGGAGCGCTACGTTCGGGTGTACGAGTCGTCTCGTTGATACGTGTAATTGGCTTCGTTGCAGACGACGCGGCATTAGTGCATGCGCTCGCGCGCGGGGCTTAGTTTGTAGCGCGCTTGTTATGCAGGAGGCAGCGGGGCGTCGCTCACAGCCCAGCTGTGCACGTGTAACGCTGTTTGCGAGTTGTCACCCGTGCCTTCCCGCGCGCCCGCTCCGTGGCTCGCTGTCATTCTCGCCTCCGCCGTGTCCTGCCCCGCGCACTGCGGGGTTTTCGTAATTAAGCTATCGCAAGCGTCAATTCCTGCGCTACGGAAAGTTATGAAGTTTTGCCGGGATCGGCGCTCTCAGCCTTTATCGTCGAGGCACAGGTGTTGAGGAAGTTGAATCATTAAAACCCTGGGAAACCTGTCGATTGTTTGCATCCAATTGTCACGCGCGCGTGCGTGTTTTTTCACAGTTGCCGCAACGTTGCGTTGTAGTCATTTATTTCATACGAAGGGTGTTTAATTTGGAAACGTGACGCTTTGTCGCACGGCCTGGATTATTGCAAGAAGCCCAAATTTTAAGTGGAGGAGTTAGCTTCGCAACTGAGCACCCCACTGCTGGATGAAGGCCTCCCCATGCTGTGTCGGTCTTGGGGGGGCTGTTTGACCATACCTCACCGACTTGTTCAGCGTGGGTTCATGAACGAGGGCAGCCAAGACTATTTCAGATACCACTCGTCACTGATGTTCGCTCTGGCCGGGAATCAAACCGAATTCGTCGGGTTCGTAGCGCAGTGCGCCGAACGCTTATGCCACCGTTGCTGTATATTCAGAGTTATTATACGTGCCGTTAATTCGTGTCCCCGTGGCTTCCCGAGCCTAAGGCTTAGGCCACACAACACAACACGAGCTGGCCGCTGGTATTGTCATACACATCCGTCCGCCGCGGGGCTTACTAATCACCTTAGGCTTTCTTTTAGTTTTATCTTGTTAGGCTGCTTGGGATTAGACGTGACCTTCAATCATCCCGTAGCCTTGGAGTTACGCCCAGCAGGGCGTCTCTTAATACCTGTTCATTATCGCTTACCTTTGCACTGAGCAATCACCTTTGGTTCAGTGGTTACGTCCTCAAAGGTGAGTGCGGCTAGACTTGAGTGCTGACACCAGTTTTGGGATATTTTTCTCGACAGTCATCAGCGACCTGGGGTGAGGCCTTCGAACTCGCAGCTCCCGGGAATGCTTCTAAGCTGGGAATAAATAAAAAAGAAAGAAATAAAAGCGAAACGATTGTCCGCTCGCCAGCGGTCTCAAACTCTCAACGCAAAGGCTGCTTGCGCTCACTGCACATGCAGCAGCGTCGACAGAGGCCTTCACAAAGAAGCGGAATCTCTTAAAACTGCCATGCGGAAGGTGCGAAGCAGCGAGCAAAGACACCATTGTAATAGGTTTTTACCCTTTCAACTGGTACAAAAACTGACACCTTTATACAAGGCATCATGTTTGCAATAACCACAACACAAGCAGTCAAAATGCAAACAAAAAGAAGCAACTCTGATAATGATAATGATATGCACTGTCCTTGAAGTTGATTGGTCTACACCCGAGACAGCTTTTCTTAGAGCCTAGTCTCCATTGGTGTTAGACCAGATGACGCCAAAGGGCGTACAACTCAAAGACAGCGCACTATCAGAGTATTGAGAGCTCGGGGTAAGCATTTACACTATGAGACATCTCCTTTACAAGTGGAAAAATATAGTAATATGTTTTTACCCTTTCAACTAGTACAAACATGATCCCTTGTATAAAGGTATCAGTTTTTGTACCAGTTGAAAGGTTAAAAACCTATTACTATATTTTGCCACTGGTAAAGGAGATGTCTCATAGTGTAAAGACGCCATTGTTGTGTTGCTTTTAATGCGACGTTTTTTTTTTAAAATGGCGCCCCGTGGAAGGTTCGAAGCACCTGGGCGATCCGGCCAGCTGGCAGGACCCGGAGAAGCTTTGCCTGAGAGTCAACGGCGCCGGTCTTGTTGATAATTCCGGCGAGTGTCACAATCGCAAATGCCTGGGTTAAGGGGGGATGCTTTGCGGCGTTTCCCATTACCTGCTGTCCTTGGCTACGTCACGAGCCGGTGCAGTCCATTGTGCGTGTTCCCTTGGCTTGCGTGACACTCGGACGCGCGTCCCGGTTTTCGCGCGGAGGTGTTGACGCCGAGGTCTGGACATTTCTCGTGCGCTCGGGACTCGATTTCCCCCCCCCCGAAAAAAAGACAAAAAGGGTCCGTTGGCAACGCAGAGGCCGCGCGGAGGACGATTCGCAAGGTTGTGATTGTGCGCACCTTAAACAATGCCCCTTGAATGTTTCAGCATCCCCTTTCCTGGCAGTTTGTTTTGCCGATCGATATTTTGCACTTACGAGATGGTTTCGTAACTTTGCCCGGGATTTGTGCTCTCAAAAGCTTAACGTTATTGCCCCTCCGGCTGAAGTCGTTTAGAATAACAATTGTAATTACAGATTTACCCAGAAAAGCCACACTGAGTCCAAACAATATGTTTTCAGGAGGGTCCTGCATTGGGATGTTTGGCCAAACACCACTTACACTGCGTATATTTAGATATTTTTGTTTTGCTATGCCAGCCAACCTGAGAACCCCAAGGAAATCCACGTAGCACAGGAGAACGTACAAACGTCCACACAGAAAGGCAGCCGAGTTGCGAATCAAACCCATACGCTTCTTGTTGTTAGGCACCAGTGGCTCCCAGTGCCAAGCAGCCGCCGTTCTGCTTCGCTCAGGGTTGAAAAAATGAAAGAATTTCCAAATCGCATTATTTGTCGATGTCATGAACAAACTTGAGATTGCCTTTCCTTCTTGAGATCTACAGACATTGTGTTCACTGCCATTGTAATGATGAGTAGCACTCCCAAGAGGACGTCAATTGTTGAGATGGAGCGATGGAATTGGCTCGTTAGAAGGAGCTAAATGGATCGTTACACGGCAAAACCACGAGAGATGGTGATGGCATGGGGGAGGCCTTCATCCAGCAGTGGGTAGTTTAGGGCTGATGATCATGATAATGAACGTGCATGCAAGTACATTGCGAGCTCAGGTGGATGTTTTTACAGAAAAATGTTCGTTCATTTCAACTAGCTGAGACTTTTTTTTCTTCCAAAGGGTACATGGGTAACAAAGCAGCCATCATGATCCAGATTTGTAAAAATGCATTGAATAGCAGCGGTTGTTGGCAGCAGGGTGCAGTATCCAATCATTACATTTCTTTTTTTATAGAGTTAGAAATCAAACTGATACACATGTCTATTCTGTTGTGAGAATAGGGATAATGATTTGCATTTATTGCGCACTTAATTGCTCCAGCATCTCGGATCACCTTACATTGCCTCTCAATCACTCCAATGCCCAACTGTCACTTACATTTAGCCTAGGGGACCACCTGATGGCAGCTGTCCGTTTGGGGTACAAGGTGACGCAGCACCGGCCTGCAAACTGGGCATTAGTCTTGTCACTAAGGGGCATTGTTGCTTTTTTGGTTTTTCCCTAGCGGTACATTTGCAAATTATTTTTCGAATTTGACAATATACATATATGTGTGTAAACAATGCGACCATTCTCCTTCTGCAGGTGGGAAATGCAGGAAGACGCGACGCTGGATGAGGAGGAGAGAGTCATGGTGGAGCACCTGAGAAACGTCTACCTCGACACCGCAGAGGCCAGGGGGTTCCACACTTAAAACTCGCTCGCTCTCTCACTCGCCAAACGAAACGTCCAGACGAGGTCCAACAGCTCCCTCTTTCTCCCTCTCTCTCTCTCCCTCACCGTTTGCTGCCGGTGCAGCCCGCCACATTGTTGCATTTTCCATTGTATTTTTTTCCCCGACAGTCGAAACCAAAGCCTTCCTTGTCGGCAAGCCTTCGATGCCCGGCAGCTGTGGCACAAATCGCACCGAGGGCCGCGGTTGGAGTGGCGTGGCGCTAAGCCGCAGGTCGCCGCCGTTGCTGGCACGATCGCGGAGCGGCGTTGGGCGATGCGCGGACCCGGCCGGCAGCGTTAACACTTGGACCCCAGCATGGCCCGCTCGTGAAATCAGATAAAAGAAAGAAGAAAAAAATATCCAAGCCAAAGAACGCGTGGGGGGAGGGGGGGCAGGCGCGAAAATAACAACGTCCGTTAACGAGTGCCCCCCATCTGAACAGGAGCGAATGTTGAGTACCAGTTGTAGCTTTTGCAAGCCTGCGCAATGATGATAACAATAATGATGATGATGTTGTCTCAGCCACGATAGATTCACGTAAAGCTCAGCATTATATTACTTCCGTTTGCCCCACCCCACCGCCCCCCCAATGCACAGTGAAGCTCCTGCGGGAAGCAAGCACGCACGCTTGCGGGGATGATCAAAGGGTACGAGGGATGCGAGAGGCGGGGGAGTGAGTTTGCTGCGAAAGTTCCGTGGAGAAGTCGAGTGCGTGTGTCAGTCCACCGCGCGCGTGCCTGTTGGCCGCTGGCCTCCGGCGAATGGAGGCGATCGGATTGACAGCTGTTGGGAGTAATTGAGAGCGATGACATCACCCGCGTAACTCATCCACGCGGTGCTCGTCTGTTGAACCTGTGATAGGCCAAGAGCGAACGTGAGACTGGCGTCTTTATTTTTTTTATTTTTATTTCGTTTTCCCCTCGCCGTTGCCCGGACTCGTAACAGGGTCAGCAATTAAGTTGTCATAATTATACCCGGCTACTTGTTCAATCTTATTTTTTTAAACTCCGGTTTAAGTGAAATGCATTTGTCGTAAGATGTCGAAGTACCCTGTTTTTTGTTGATCCATTTGATAATAATTCTATATCAACCTGCCACTGCCACCACCTTCAAACTCCAGTCACGTATTTATTTTTCCTTAGGGTCCCATGGGGATTTTTACACGGGGTTCAACATTGTACATGTTGTTTTGCGCGAGGGTTTTAAACGGAGCTCCTAAAGGCACCGCGCTTGTTAATAGTGAAGATGCAGCCCTACAATTGCCGGCCCACGTCGCTGCTGGTGGAAGGGCCTCCACTAGAGGGAGCTTTTGAGAGGTATCTTGGCCTATGATTCTATGTTGGCCAGACGTCTTCGAAGAGGAGGGAGTTACCCACACTTTTCCCCACCACACGCAACCTGTTTTTACTGCTCTGTACCCATACTGTATATATATATACACATATTAAGACGAAACTAAATTACTTTTTTTTATTTTGCCAGGTAAGGCCCACTGAGCTATATAGGTCTTTTTCAGAAGCGACCTGGCCACAAATGACAGCTCAATGAACTGGCTCATCGTGTGGACATTTATAGCAGCCAAATAAATGGGGAGAGAAAAATCGGCGGACACGTAGAAAAACCCACGCAACCGCGGGGAGAACATGCAGACTCCAAATATACAAACGTCGGGGTCGCGATCGAACCCACAACCTCCTGTATACCAGGTGAGGTAGTGAACATCTCGCCACTACGCTGCCCCTTAGTAGTGGGTGGACAGAGGTGGTGGGTGGGGGTTTAAGACACTTGCACGACGGTTTCAGAATCATATTCTTTTTTGTACATACTGGAAGAATCCAATGAGCTGTAATGCTCTGAATTTCAGTTGCAATGTGCTGACCCCACAGAAGCCGTCAGTCTATTGTTACGGGCTGGGTTCTCCGTTTCTCCAGGGGGGGGCGGAGCTAATATCATTCCGGGCTGTGATTGGGTGGCATCGTTCCAGTAGGGCGGTGCTAAGTGACATGCGGCGTGACGTGTACAATGTACGGGCACGTCTCTACTTACGAACATGTTAGGTTCCAGAGATATGTTCGTAAGTCGGTTTGTTCGTCACTAACTTTACTCCTGTCGATTCCAAACATGTTGTACGGCATGTACAATAAATACGGGGAATGGCTTTAAAAGGTGTATCATCTCTTGTATATGTAAATGCCTCTGGGTTTTCATGTGCTGCAGATGTAGATGCCACTGGTTCTTCACGTGGCATCTACATGACATACTTGACAGGTTGTTCATAAATCTGAAAGTTCGTAATTCAAGTGTTCGTAAGTAAGGGAGTCTCTGTAATCGGAGTGGCTCTGCCTGAGCTCGCAGGCGGTTTGCGTGCCTGGCTCGAGAGAGATATGCGGAGGGTACTCTGTGGAGTATTAAGAATTGTGTTTGGTAAATGTTAAAAACTCATTGCGACTAAAGTATCCCGATGACTTGCGATACATGTAATGTACTATATTCTTTGTTTTTTTCGATAAAGTCACGTAGGTAAAAAAAATAAATTAAAATAAATTAAATCACGACGTTTCGGAGGCAACACAAGCTTCCGTCTTCAGGTGGCACCGTCACAGCAAAATTACTGTATCAAACTTCAAATCTAGAATTAATGTACAATATGTTTAGAATTTTAGGACATTTACACGAAGAAAAAAGTATACATTTTAATTTACAGATTACATCTTAGCTTCGATGTACTATCTCTTGTTATTAAATCAATTCCAAACTAAAATACGTGCAGAAAGTGTAATTGGCTCATAGTGAGTAATAGGCCATTGTGCCACGCATTCCATATTTACAATAGTTTGTAACCAGATTGCAACAAAATAAAGCTTTGCATGAAGAGCTCAAGTCACTCAGGTATACGATACGACAATGACAATTGTCATTGGGCTGTCACCTTGTGACAGTCTAATCTTGCGCATGATGACAGCGATGTTCAGGAGCTAGATACCAATGTCAAGGTCTGCAAGCCACTACGAAAGGGCTCAGGATAGAGTTCGTGTGGTTTTGCTCTTTCTCCTCCGTTGAAGGTGCGCGCACTACAGCGGGTTTACAACATTGTCCATAGTTTGGGTTGTATGGCCACACTCGCACTACTGTGGCTTGGCTATACACCGAGTGAAATAAAGGACCCTGATACTGAGTGCTTGTGTGTGTCTGTGGTGTGACTGTGCCCCGAGGATGGGCCCTCCCAACGTGTCTTGCTTGTCACGTGGCATCACCACGTGGCGTGTGTAATGTGCACGGCCTTGTTTTGGACCACCAGCTCACGAGAGCCAAAGTCGTGGCTATTTGTGTTCCAGTTGTCTCAATGTGTGTTTCCTCAGCTGCTGTCTAAAGTGAAAATAGCCACAATTTTGACCCGTTTGAGTCACGGTCTATTGCAACGCTATCATGTTATTTGTACCATTATGCGCACAATATGGTGATGTCACGCGACATGCAATCCATGCTAGGAAGACCAATTCTATCTTTTCAGTGGTGCTTCTTCCTGTCTATAAAGCACATTGTGTGCCTTTTCTGCCTGACGGGTTTCTCACCATTTGAAAGCGTTGCATCCGGTTTTCCTCGCAAGCCAGGTTGACAACATCGTTCGGGACGCACTGTCGGCCGACGCTGGACACCTGCAGATGCTTTGCTGCGGGTTTAAGGATTTTAAAGCCACGATGAACGGAAGCACACGCGGAGGACGGCGATGTCGGGCGTGATAGAGCAGAATTGCTCTCCCCTCCCTCCCCCCAACGTGGGATCGCGAGGGCCCACAAGGTGACCTGTGGCAAAAATCGCTCGACTCCCCGACGGAGGACCCTCGTCCTAATTGTGCCGCCACTCATTTGCCGATTTAAACGTCAACTTTTTGAGCGTCGCGCTTTCAACCCGCCGCGCAAACGACGCTCATGAGTCATGAGGCAGGGCCTCCTGTGCGTGGCCCACTGGGCCTGGAGTCCCACCGGCACGCCCGCCCGCAGAATGAACCCCCCCTTCTCCGAGGCCAGAGATGGAGGTTCTATTTGCTTATTTTTTTTCAAAAGCCTTCCCAGCGAAACCGCTCCGCAACCCCTTGTAACCCAAAGGTGTAACTCGATCATCGCCTGCATGCAGATTTGAATGTCAAGTGGTGATGCTCACGTGGCTTTGGGTAGGGTAGGGGGGGGCAAGAAATAAAAACATTGGAGCAAAAACCTTCCTTTAACACTGCCGGTAAGCTGCCTTGCGCCGCTGGGCCAGATGTTGGTCTCTGAGCGGCGTAGTTAATGAACTGCTGGCGCGTTGTTGAGCGGTGCACGTCGTGCTGGCTCCGCCGTAAATATCAACTCTCCCCCCCCCCGGGCATCGGAATGGCAGCGCTTGTTGTGACACGGCAAGTACATGGAATAACTGTTTAATAAGCGTTTGACAGATCAAGTCCAGTCGCATTAGCTTCCGGGCGAAGCGCTGCCGTGAAGGGTACAAACAGCCCTCGGGGATCCAGCCACTGAGTAAAATCGCGTTACACAAATTACTTTGCTCTGCAACGCGATTAGAGCAGCGCCAGGGAGAGAAGGAGGAGCAGGAGGGGGTGGGAGGGGGGGTGATAGCAGGAGGCGAGCGGCCGGTATTGAAATGCGAGCCGCGGGCTCCCGAAGACGCGTTCCAGACGCGCGCTCCGTCTCGCGCCGATTGCGATGTGCTGCTCTATGTTACCACGTAATAAGTCTCTCTTCTCTTCTTTGCCCTCCCGCAATATGATTCGGAGCTGGGGGGTTTTGGGGAGCCGCGGCGCAGTGGGTTAAGCACACCGCCCCGAACCGCTCGCCCTACCCGCCTCGCAAAACAATGTTTGGAGGTGGGTAGCGGGGAGCGGTGGTGCGGTGGTTGCCGCGCCGTCAATCGGAGTGGAATAGTGGCGGCCTCTAATCGTGGAATGTCATTGAGTCGCTGGAGTGTTGCGTGCCTCCTGTTTGTCATCGATTCATTCCGAAGAAATTCATGGCCCGGCACAGGTGCTTTGGACCACGCGTACCAAGATAAAACGCGCAGTCGATCGGCACAGGAATTGCTCGTGGTGGGGGCGCGATGGTTTGGGGCACTGCGCTACAAAAAACCCGGCCGCCCGAGTCTGACGCCCAGCCGTGGCTAACATCGGTTGCGAGTGACGATCTGAACCCGATATGGAACGCCCCTCTTTCACCAACATGCACGGAACCAGCGCGGTGAAGTATGGTCAAACGACGGCCGTGACTGACGGGGCGTCAGGGGGAGGGGGGGCTCAATTCCGCAGTGGATTGACAAAGCGACATACGAAACATTTTTGCTCAAACAGTTTCAACTTTATCTAGAACCCGAATAATAACAGAAAACGCAAAGCAACAAAAGCTACAGGAATGTGTGCATTTAAAGCCATGGGCATTATTTGTATTTTATCACGGTATTTTTCACAGACCCAACGCCCCTCCCCCCCCATTCTCCCCGTCATATCTTTTCGCATTATTCTGCCTCGTATGTTTTTACTTTGATTGCATTATCTGTCACATTGTGTTCATGAGAAATGTATTCAGCATTTGTTGCCATAGAGAGTGTCGTTATTGTGTCTGTGTGTCTGCGCGTGGTCGTAGCGTCCTTCGATTTGTATTTAAATCAGCCCCAGCTGCCGTCTCAGCTTTCATCTCATTGTTGCGAAGAAAATCAATGCAAGCCGCTCAGACAAAATATTGGCGAGTGGGGAGGGGGGGGCGAAGGGGTTTATTTCTCAGAATAACCTCAAAGTTTGCATACGATGATGCGTCTTGATTATGACCGCACGTAGAGGGGAAGGGGTGAGAAAGCCACTGTGTGGGTCTCGTGGGTGTCTGACCACCCACACGACACGTTGGCACCCTCAGGTCAAAGTGAAGCATCACGGTGGCGAGATGTTACCTACCTAGCCTGGTATGCAGGAGGTCGTGGGTTGTATATTTGGAGTTTGCGTGTCTATCTCGCCGTGGTCGCGTGGATTTTTCTCCGAGGTCCTCTGGTTTTTTCCCTCCGCGTTTGAGAACACTGTAACAATATTTTTTTGTTCCTGGGTAGTAAGTGTTATTTCCTAATGGCGTATGCCTCAAAAGTACAGCCAATGGCTATTATTCCCCACAAATTTTGCTTTTGTGACCAGGACAGTGATATTTAGAAATTTACCTAGTTTCCAGAACATTCCAGATAGATTCAGTGCTGAGTAAACTTGGAGTAACTTCTAGAACATTCTAGAACTATCCAGTAATATAAATAGTAGTATAAATACAGGGGCCTTAAGCCCACCAGTTCAATTTAGGTCCAGCTGCCTAAGTGGATACATATCTGCATTTTTCTGAGATGGCATCAAGAGGCTGCAAGCATCCGGCAGACGCATTTTGCTATGTCTGCGGTCAATTTATCAAGACAAGAGCGAAAAAGTACTCTGTGGAAGCATCTGCTAAGATGTGTGAGGCCTACGAGGCATATTTTGGCATACCTGTCAGGGATCAAGACAAACCCTGGGCACCTCATTTCACCTGCGAGCAATGCAGCAAAAACTCTTGAAGATAAGATGGACAATTGTTGCTAGGAATTTTATGTTATAGAATTTGTTAACATTTTTAAAATCGTAAAAGTTCTTTATTCTAAAATGTTTAACAATTTTAAATGTTTTTGAAAAAATATATCATATATGAAAAATGTTGCGAGAATCTCTTACACACTAGTCATGGGTGAAATAAATGTATTTTTGTAGGGGAAATGAGAGCCATGAAGTTCGCTATCCCAAGAATTTGGCGGGAACCCACTGACCACTCAAGCAACTGCTACTTCTGCATGGTGGACCCTTCCAAACGTTGGACTGGCAAGAATGCACCTGCTATCACGTATCCGGACCTTCCTTCATCCATCGCCCCGATGCCACACTGCCATGAGCTCCCCGTACCAACTCCTCCGGAGAGAGAGCAGCCATCTTTAGAAGAGAGCAGCAAGTCAGAGTGCGAGGAAGACGTAGATCCCGATGACAATTTCAGAGGTGGAGCTGAGGAGAGAAACCCATACTACCCCAACCTGAAAAGACCTCAACGACTTTATCAGAGATCTTGGTCTCACCAAGTCCAATGCCGAGCTTTTGACGTCTAGGCTCAAGCAGTGGAACGTGTTGGATAAAAGTGTGCAAGTCGCAGATCAGAGGAAGCGTCACCAACCTTATTGCAGCTTCTTGATCTGTCAAGATAGGCTCTGCTTCTGCCACAATGTGACCAGTCTGTTCGAGGCAATCAGAATCGCCTGTAACTAGAATGAGTGGCGCCTCTTCATTGTCAGCTCATCCAGGAGCCTCAAAGCCGTGCTGCTCCATAATGGTAACAAGTACCCGTCTCTTCCCCTAGCTCACTCGGTGCACCTCAAAGAGATTTACAACAGCATCAAGACCTTGCTGGACGCCTTGAAGTATGATGAGTACGGCTGGGAGGTCATCGGAGACTTCCTAATGGTGGCATTCCTGATGGGTCTCTAAGGCGGTTTTACCAAGTTTCCCTGCTATCTTTGCTTTTGGGACAGCAGGGACACCAAGGCGCACTACCACAGGCAGGACTGGCCACAGCGGACCGAGTTCTCTGTGGGGAGGAACAACGTCAAGTGGGAGCCACTAGTGGACCCCCGGAAGGTGCTGATGGCACCACTGCACATCAAATTGGGCCTTATGAAACAATTTGTCAGAGCTGTAGATATGGAGTCGGCAGCCTTCAAGCACCTTCAAGACTGCTTCCCGAAGCTGTCTGAGGCAAAGGTCAAAGCCGGTGTCTTCGTCGGACCACAGATAAAGAAGATTCTGGAGTGCAAAATGAATTCCCCAAGAAGCTCACGAGTAAGGAGAAAGCGGCTTGGGACAGCTTTGTCGCAGTGGTTCGTGGCTTCCTGGGCAATCACAAGGTCGAAAACTATGTGGAGCTGGTTAAGACTCTGTTGAAGAACTATGGCACAATGGGCTGTAGGATGTCTCTCAAAGGCCATATCCTTGATGCTTCTCTTGATGCATTCAAGGAGAACATGGAGCGTAACGGAGGAGCAAGGCGAGCGCTTCCACCAGGATATACTGGACTTTGAACGCCGCTACCAAGGACAGTATCACGAGAACTTGATGGGAGACTACATTTGAGGGCTGATTTGTGA